TGCAGAAGTCTTCGGTATAGATATAGATATAGACATAGATATTGTCAGTGCATGTAACATATATACATACATACATGCATACATACATACATACATACATACATACATACATACACACATACACACGTACACACGTACACACATACACACATACACACGTACACACATACACACATACACATACATACATATACATACATACAGACAGACAGACAGACCGACGGACAGACAGACAGACAGACAGACAGACAGACATACATTCATATATATATATATGTATATATACATATGTGTATGTATGTGTATACATATATATATATATTTATTTATTTATTTACTTATTTATTTATGTGTTTACATTTATATTTATACATTCTAGGGGCTGCGCCCACGGCAGGTAGCAGCCCGGACCAAGGCCACGCACCCCCCTCCGTACAGGTGGGGGGCGCCTCTCGAAGCCCTCCCTGTCGCCTTGCCTCCTCCTTCCGCGTCCTTCAGCCCCGACTCCCACCTCCCTCCCCCCCCCCCCAAGGCCCGCAATTAGACACCCTCCGATGATCCCCTCCGCTCTTTCCACCACGCCCTCCGCCGATGCTGATGATGCGCGCCCTTTGAAGGCCCTGGGCCGCTGCGGGGGCGCCGGGTGCTCATGATGCTCGCCGGATGCCCTCCGGTCCCCCAAAATCCGCCATATCGGGGGAATGGCCGCGAAACGCGTGCGTTGCCGAGTGAGCGTGCTGTTCATTGGAAGTTTAACACTGGTAATTATGTGCTGTCTGAGTTGCTCTTGTTAAACACGACATTTCTCTGGGGCACACATGTACTCAAGCGGCGTGCTCACCTTTGCATGTAAAGTGACATATTGTTCATCAAGTCTTGATGAATTTCACCGTTGTCCTGCACAAAACTAGATATTGGCCTCTGCCTGAAGACGTTACCATGAGGAGACCAGTTCACTGATTGTTCTCGTTTGTCTGTCATGTACTGGAACCTCACTTTTGTCTACGATTGAAGCGTTTACTGCGGGAAATGCTTCTGCTGGCTTAAAGTAAACACTTCCAAAGTTGAATAGAAAAGATGCCTTTCATGTTGCTTCATGTTTGCGCGGGGGGCCTTGAACTGTTGTGCACTCATATTGATACGGCTTTAGCTGGTGCTTGCAGTAACGAGCCCTGCTCAGTCCACTACCAACATACACATACGCACGTTCCACAATGATCGCTTAATGAACTAACACACTTGTGCTTAAACACCTGCTGAAAGAGGATTCGCTGTTGGTGAACATCAGAGAGAATTCTATATGCTTTGGCTGTATATTGTCTTTGGTCCTTTGGTTCTTAGTAACCGATTGTGTGGTTCTTTGCGGTCTTGTTTTCTACAGTTGTATATTCTGAGTTTAGTTCATCTGAAGTTGGTGCGTACTTTAGGTCATACTCATTCTATAGAACTAGGATTGTCTGTGTTTTTTTGGCAAAATCGTGTGAGAAATTTGCACCTAGTAGATGATGACCATCAATCAATCATGTGTGTCAGGATTATGTGGAAGTTCAGAGTGCTAACTGGATTGCTATCACTGAAGTAACCAGCAAGCTGACTATACCCACAGATACAGGCAAAATGGTGATGGTAACAATATCATTGGTAAATGTACTAGCGAAACTACGCCTGATGCGGTGAATTAAGCATAGAAGAACATATTCGTAGCTTAGATATGGCCCAGAATGGACGAGAAGCGGAGATTGGATGGGTTTGTAGAGACATGGCCTGCCGCACACAATTCATGCACAGAGCGTGGGTACATGAGGGCGGGGGTTCCGGCTGTGCTCTTTTCCTTTTTGCTTCCCTTTCCATTGACTGTTCTTTGTCTCTGTTGTTCCCATCTTGGTCTCTCGCTCCCTTTTCTCTATACCAATATCCCACTGTCATCGCGCTGATAGATTCACCTCCGGCCGTGAACACAAAACTACTGCCATTCTCAATACCCTGCTCAGTATGCCATTAGCTACTTACTTATGCTGGCCCCCAACAACAATCATTAATCGGAGGCATTTCATGACACGCGACGGCCAACGCAAGGCGATGTGGCAGCGAGGACAGTGGGCTTTGCGAAAACGCACTGTGGCGACGTCACTTCTGAGACCGGTTGTCGAGTTTGTTCAGGGGTTCCCTAGGCCCTAGAGCAAATGAACCCTGCAGCAGGCTGGCATTTCGGACTTGCTTCTTTCTTCTATAAGGTCGGGATCTGGCTTGAAGCAGAAAATGACTACCGGAGATTTTGGTCTGTTTGCCAACAGTGGGCCGCTTACCTGACCCACATTGCCAAACAGGCCTCATGTGCAAAAAGTTGCTCTTAGCTGATACAGAACGAGAGGTCCCAGACGAACGAGAGGCATGACAGCAAGAGGAAGAATGAGAGGAGCAAGAACAGCGCTGGGAGAAGCAGAGGTCTCAGATTGGACTCCAGTGGGCTGACACTTGACCGGAGGATTGTCCTAGAATCATAGAATCGCGGTTCTCGCCCTTTGGAACTTTGAAGCTGGAGGTCGCACTAGACTCAAGCGTGTCGTTTCCCTTGAATTCGAAGGATTGCTGTCAAAGCTCAAGAAGCTCCAACAAAGCGAGCTCGCCGAGCTTCGCAGAAGCTTCGCAAGGCGTTTGCGGACATAGGCTCGTGGCAGCAAGCACTTCCCGTGCCTGATTGGAAGGTGCAGAACGCTCACATGTCCGGATGAGGTTGCACCATGCCAGTGGCTGCAGGAGGGAAAAGTTGCTCCAAGACTCAAAGCACTTTGTACAATAGTGCCTGCGAGAGACAGCTGCCCACTTGCACAGTGCGCGAGCAGAGTAAGTAGAGACTCAGATAGAGACAAGCCGTCAAAAAGCTCGATGTCGTGTTGCGCAGGGACCCTCTGCACGGATTTTGTAAGTGCGAAGTCACAGTGAAGCAAATCGGAGGTACGCCGCGGGATCCCTCCGAATCGGATCTTCCTGGTGGGATACTCTCAAGGCCATGGCATCCCATTCTATTCCAATTCTCTTCGAGTCCAGCCCATGAGCAGGTGTAAAGATGCCAGAGCTTCATACAAATTGCGATTTCCCAGTTGGCTTTCGAACTTCCCAAGGCCAACGCTCCAAGCAAGCCTGTAAGAAGAACTAGAAGAGCAACCAACAGAAGATCTCTTCTGACTGGCTGCTCAGCCGTGTGACCCCAGGCAGAGAGACCACATCTTGCGGTCGGGCTTGTATTGCCTCAAACTTTAGGGGGCCATGGGCGCACGTGCGCAATTCGCTTACGAGGATATCCGCCTGCATGTCATGTTGCAATGCTTGACTTTTAATCATCGTTGCCATGGGCATGCTGGGTCTGTTGTCTCGCGTGCTCCAATGTGTGGAAAGCCTCGGCCATACTTTGAGAAATGCAAACTGCACATTCAGACACGGCTCTCCGGTCCGCAATCCAGTCGATGGTATCCAGCCTGCACCAGCTTGTCTATGCTGGGCTTGTCTGTCCAAAAGTTCAAGAAGTCACACAGGACATCAGACATCGGCGGGATCGCCGGAGGTGAGTGTTCGACTGGTGCGGAATTGCAGATGCAGGAAAGACCTGTTTCGCAGACATACAAGCGCTCCGCACTGACTGCAAGCAAAAAGCGCCCAGCCTTCTACCCCCGAGAGAGGGACAAGTTGCCGTCTTCAACTGCTCTCTGTTGCGTCGGTCAACACATGTGGCACATGTTGCTTCAGCACCCGGCCATTGTCTGAATTGCCAGCAGTGGCAGCAGTGGAAGCACAAGCGAAGATACTCAGGGACATGGGCATGCTACCATACAGTCGCGCGACATGCACGAGGATGCAGTCCCGTTCGAAGCGCAGACTACACGCAGCTCAGACAGAGGAGGATCTGATCCTTGAAGAATCTTGAAGATCCCGGAATGCCTGGGTTATTTGCAGCTCTTAGATTTCCGAGACCAGTGCCTACAGCCACATAATTAGGGGTGTCTCCAATAGTTATTCGACGGGGGGGGGGTTACACATCGGAACAATTGTCGGGGAATAAATGAGTTTTAAGTTTTAACGCCTGTGATCACGAGGACGCAGCGGGGGAGGCAAAAAAATGTTTGAAGCCGTGTCCGCCCAGCGGTAGCCCGGTCCGAACGTGTCTTTGCAGACCAGATCTCTGACATAATGTGACATTTGGGTTCAGGGTTTCTGGGTTTGAGGTTCCTGGATTTAGGCTGCTTTAGGCTTCTAGGTTCAGGGTTTGTTTGTTTTTTTAGCCCGGTCGCGAAGCGTGAAACTACGGGTAGGGAAACAGCCACTGGGGAGGGAAAACAGCTGGCTGGAATCCCTGACAGGGTTGAGGTGACTTTGCAAGGGGGATCCAACAGCTATCAAAAGCTTCAAACTCCGAAATTCGAGAGCATCTGCGCAGTAAGAATGAAGAAACATACAGCAAGCCCGGACCCCACTCCCGGGAGGCCAAAGAAGGACCAAGCTTTGCCCGGACCCGGGTTGTGGACTTGGGCTGCAGTTGTGGCAGCTTATTATTCTACACCCCCCCCCCCCCCCCCGCCACGTCTTGGCATAATTGCGTCACCCCAATCAGGGACAATTCGTAAATATTCCGATGACCCCCGCAAGACCCCCCATGCGACAGCTTACCGAGCCTCTGAGCCACTGCAACCCTGCCCGGCAGTCGCACAGATTCCGCCAAGGGCGAAATACTCCTGAAAGGCACCCTTCTCCAAAGAAGACCTGATCCTTGCCTATGATCTTCTACGCCAAGACTTTAGCCGACAGGTCCTCATCCGGAACACAGGTAGCTCAGGTAGCTTCCTTGTACTGAAAGACTAAGATTATCGAAGATTGCATCGATGGCAACTCAGAAGTTAGGCCATTGTGTCAAGTTGATGCAATCCGGCTGCTGTCTTGGAACAGTGAGTGAAATGGAACATGACCATTGTTCCCGAGTTGAGATCTGGGCTCTTGAAGACAAGCAAGGAGTCTGGAAGTTTGATTTCAGTATATTTCAAGTTTTGAAAATCCCTGAACGATGCCATGACGATGCCATGTAGCATGAACGGCAACAACGGCAACTAAAGCACCCGCGCGTACGTCGCTTTTCTGCCCGGCCTCGCGAGCCAGGGGGCCGGGGTGAACACGTGAGCTAGCTGAGTGCAGGTGGTGGATTGGCCCTTGCCGCGGCCTTGCGTGCACCGCGCCGTCTGGGTGGTGCCAGAAGCCAAGCATTTTTTTGTTCAAACCGTGTCATACGATGTATTCCGAACACGTTCTCGATCAAGTGAGACGAGTGGTTGCGGTCGAAAGCACACTTGCACTTCGGCAGGCATGTTAGCATTTTGCCAGTGTCAGTCGACTGCTGGGAATGCCAAGGTGCTGATGCTCAGTTCATGGGCTGGGAACCTGGAAGTTCACAGGTTTTAAAGCTCACGTAATTGTGCTGTCACAGTCACGAACCATCGGTCGTAGGTGGCAGAGCCATTGCCCGATGACTTCAAGGACTGTTGCTCGCGTCCGGGTGTTGAATCTTACATGCTGATCCAGTGAGATGGTGGCATCAGTGCGCAAGATCGGGGGATGCACCCAAGAACCGATGAGAGCCCTAAGGTTGACAGTTTGAGCTTCCACACTGCATGAATGCGCCTTGCATCGCTTGGCCGCCTCGGCCGGGTGTCGTTGCCCACGCACCTTACTGGCAGAGGCAGCCGGCGGCAGCATTCAGGGTTCTCTGATATTTCAGCTCCAGCCATATCTCGCAACAGGCATCCGTGCCCCAGCTTTTGTCCGCATGCCTGAAGTACGTCACTGAGCGTTGGCTGAATGCTACTTATGTCGATCCTCTGTTTCAAGCAATCCACATTGCTTCACAGCAAACGACCCTGCAAGATACTGATGTTCGTGCTTATCCTGCGAAAAGCCGTGTCCTCATGAAGAATCGGACAGATGTGATACTTAGGCGAAGTCGAACTTGTTTACATCTCGAACTTCTGAGGAGTTGTTAGACGCGTGTCCTGTTGATGCATCGGACTGGCTGCTCCCGAAGGCATTTAAATGCATTTTGATGTGACTGTGACTGCTTTTCTACAACTGACATGGCGAGCTACACTAACTACTCTGCGCCCCTGTAGTTTCACAGAAGTGTAGTGACTTCAAGACTTCCACTATCCGCCATGCTTGATTGCTGCCGCTTGGATTGAAGTCAACCTCCTCATTAATGTCCACTTCTTATTCATAACCCCCCCTCCCCCATGATTGATTTCCGGGTGGGGGGATAGATTTTAGTCTTATAGTACTACAATGCTCTCTCAGACTCTGGAAGGGCCGACAAAAGGGCCCCAAGTGTTCTTTTAGGAACCAGGGACGGGATTATTACTGAGTTCCTGGGATCGGATTTGACAATTGACGGGGGGTTTATAACTGAGTTCCGGCGGTTGGGCTTTATGATTGAAGGGGGGCTTATAAAATTGAAGTCAACATTAAACTACCTCCTCACTACCCTCTAGGAAGCAAACAGCACATGAACTCTGCAATATCACTTTTCTGGTGGAAATTAGTTGTAGCGGCCGCGATTCAAGCACGCGAGATTCAAGGAGGGCAACATGCAACATGTTGAATTCGGCAGGGAAGTGTTATCGGAAGCCCTTCCTAAGGTTTGTCCCATTGTCCACCCATGTCCACCCTCAAACCAAGAAATGACATCAGAATACGAGCAGTCGTGTGCTTTGGTGTCTTGGGGCCAGATTTCTGCTGCTGGAAGCACGCCCCAGATCGACCACGTTGCTTCGGCTTGCGGTCGGATTGATGTGATAAGGTAATTTGTGTAGAATGTATCGACATGTTGCGTTTCAGAAGCTTTCTGCAGGATGTGCCAGTGCACATCTTTCATGGTGCCGAAGATCCTGTCGCGCTAACCTCGGACTGAGCGAGCACCTGGCCCTGGAGTTTCTGTGGGGGTCGTCGAGGGTCAGAAGCTGTCAGAAGCTGTCGAGCTCAAGGTGCCACTAAGCACAGCTCAGATGGGCCGGGCGCGCCTCGAAGCTGCGGGTCTCAGGCATCGGGGGAAGTGTTCTTTACTCGCCTGAATGTTCAGAACTTTCATGCCAGGACAACATTTCGTGCCTATGCCGGTATGACTCATGGCGTCTGCGACGAAGAGGCCTCAGCACCTGTCATGTCGAGCCAACCACCAGAGACTTTGCAGATCAGCGCTCGTCTCATGTCGCATATTCGTTCAATGTGGCTGGCGTGCAAATCGCCTCACCCATGCCAGTGAAAAGGTGATACGAGTGTGTATGCTGATACATGATGCCGTTGTTGGACCGAGTGTCCAATCGGACCATCCGTCCGTCCATCCCGGCCTCGCTGACATAGAGCCGCAGATGCTTGTCACTTCCCTGTGCAAAGTTGACACTGGACACTGGACTCCTTGGCGTTTCGGCCAGGTTGCAGACTTGGCGCAGACCTTCTACGAATCGCTTCTGTGAAAAGACGATGTGCAAAAGCTAGACTAGACATGGAGCATCCAGTGTTCCCTTCAGGCTTAGGCATCCGCAATTGTCATTTGACATTTTAATTTGAGTTGCGATGTCATCTACACATGTCAATCTGTGAGCCTCACGTCTACGGCTGGCAGGCCAAGTCCAAATATGGCCTTGCCAAGTGGAGCTCTGAAGTCTGATTGAACTCGCTGCCGCACGACGACGGATGTAGGCTATAGGCAGTTTGCTGCGGAGAAAGATTCGACATATGAGTTTAGAGAGCCTTAAACGCTGGCAGCATTGCCGTTGGGGCCATGTCTCGCGAGCGGCTCTGCCATGAGTGCCATCCAGGCCCCGCCCCGCTGCTTTCGAATACTGTTGACCTGTTGACCCCTAGCCTCCAGGATCCGGCATGCGACAGAGAAAGGCATAGAAAGGCCGAAGCGAGGACCCCCAGGAGTAGCACTATCGCCTTTGTAGTAGGCGGCACCGCAGTGGGATGGTATTGACCGCTTTTCGGATTTGTCCCTGTCTAGTTGTCATGCTGTCGTACAGTAATGTACAGGACAAGTAGGTTATACGAAGATATACGAAGTTTGTATGCCGGGTATGTCATGTTATGTCATAGTACCATGTATACCAGAAGTTGCAACCGAAGGCGGGCTCCCCGCATCGTGTTTTTTTGCGTGGGCTGCCGGTGGAATTGGCCAACAGGCCGTACACATGCTCGATCATGTCGCAGAAGATGTACCACTCACCTGTAAAGCCAAACAGCCGATGAGGTCGACTCTGCAAAACATCTGCAGCGCTTTTGGCGACGTAGAAGATGCTTGGGCCGTTTCCCCGGAGTCACCGGAAATTCTATCAGGCAAAGCTATGTCATGTCCGCAGCTGGCGCACAAATCTCTCTCGCTCTTTCTCTCTCTCTCTCTCTCTATCTCTGTGTCTCTCTGTCTCTCTCTTGAGTTTCGTTTGCCCTGGGTTCGGCGAAAAATGCTGGAATTGCGAGACCGCTCCAAGCACAAAGCGATGCAAAACTGTGCGTCAGACTACTGCGCGGTGGCGACGGGGGAGGTCAAATATAATGTCAGCTGTCAAGTTGTGCATCAAAACATTTGTGGTCAAGTTTCGTGTGCAATTTGATTGCTTGAGCTCACGCTGCTCGCACTTTTATGATGAGAAAAACTCTTGCACCAAGGAGATGTGCCCCAAGAATTGGTTTTGTTTCCTGCCTCCGGGTCTCGATTGCAACCTTGCACACAGGGTATACTTAATGCAGACATGCACAGATAATCGATGTGAAAAGGCTTTACATTACATTGAGACCGCTTCTGTCAGAACATAGAACATGTCTCAACACTTATCGTTCCCGCATGTGGCTGTTAACATGGAAGACCATGTCAGGTTCGTGTGGTGGACCGCACAGCCGGGCTGCATGAGAGCTGGAGCTTCGTGCAATTTGCGACTGGCGCAGGCACTGTGGGGACACTTAAACGTCCCGTGGATTGCTGTCACACAGCTCACAAGCAGCAGCCAGGCATCCTTCTTTGGCAAATTGGCGTCGGTTTCGCTAATGGGGTCCGGAAGGAGACTGCAGTTCAACACTTCCTTCGGCAGTAAGACCAGGCACCCACGCCGTTCAATCACGGCTGCATTAAAGTTTCTTTGCCGTTCAGTTTGAACTACACCGATCAACGATAACAAGTTCACCGCATTGTCACTGCTAAGGAGGCCAAACCCATCTTGCACGGCAACTATCAATCCCATACCCATATTACACTGCGCTCTTGTTTTTTTGTGGGGTTTGGAGGTTTGAAAGTGAAAATTATACATTTGGGGACTCCTGGGCCTGGATGGTGTGGAACTTGGCACGTTGATTCCCTGCAGTCGAACGAAACACACTTGCAACATGATGCATTCATACCTCAACACCAAGCAAACAAGGCAAAGGCTTTCAACTGAGAACTAAGCCCCTGCACAAACCTCGTTTGTAAAGAACGAAACTTGAAGCTACAGTATGCTTCAGACATTGACATCACTCGGAAAGCAGGTGTCTCCAAAGGGACGGGTGTAGTTCGGGACGTGCTTCTCGGCTCGCGCGGTCCCTGATTCGGAGAGACTTCACACAGGATGAGTGAGTGCGCATGAATGGAGGGCTAGGGCATGTTGATTTGATTATTGGCTGAGGTTAGGGCAGCTTCTGGGGTGAGGATTAAAAGGAAGCTGTACCCACTGTCCCGATCAAACTGGCCTCCCGACACATGCAGATCGGAGGAGCCCACGAAACACCAACCGGTGACTGCCGTTTAGCCCTTCAGTGGCATAAATCAAACACACCCGGTCACATGATGTAGAGTCCAAAACGACGGGAGGGCTTCCTTGTATCACCGCTGGACGAGGGACATCTATGGCCTGGAAGCCGAACCCAGACTTCACTGTGGTCGCTGAGACTTGTAACCGAATGGCAATTCGTATTTCCTATTGGTTGTATGTTCGAGACCCGTGTACTGAGGGTGTGAGCATTGATGAAGACATGCAGCAATTTCGTTTATGATGCGGCTGACCTGTTCCGCAGTGTTCTGCACGCACACGGAATGTGTACATGTCAGCTGTGCTGTTCTGTGACTTTTCGACTACGCTGCCGTCGGCAGGGGCGACCTCAGCGGCGGAAGCTGGCCAAGACATCTGGGAGCGAGTGGCTCAAGCTCAAGGTAAGGCTTGCAGGTTTTCCAGAGACTTCTAGATTTCACAGCTGCCACAGTTCAAGATGGGCAGTTTCCACGGTAATGCGATCTGACGCAATTGCAGGGCTGCAGATCGATGCATCATCCATAAAGGGCACGCTTCTACAATCTCAGAAGCATGCTGAGGCGTGGGAGCTGTGAGAAGTTGCGAAGCTTTGGGAGTTTGCTGCACCTATCGGCTGTGCTGGCCGCAGGGTGAAGTCGTCGCAGAGTCGGTGGTTCTTGATGCGTTGGAAGCTGAAGGCAGATGGCACCTAGCAAGTCATAGCTCGCGACGAGCAACCGGCCATAGCTTTTGGGGAAAAATGATGCTCAAGCCGTGACAGTAGGGCCAGCATTCGCAGAAAATATCCGGCATGCCAGATGTTGGCAACTTTGACTTCGAATCTTTCAGAGAAAGATTTTCGATGTGGCTTGGGCGTGACTCGATAGCACTATGCTCATGCATGTGACCTGCATGTGGGTTAGTGACACTTGCCAGAGTCCAACCAGACTTCATCCTGCCGCAAGTCTGCACAGCACGAGCTCCCATTTGCACCATTACCACCCACATGCCAATTGCAAGCTTCAGATTTATGGTGCCGTTTCGAGGTCCTGTTTTGCGCCGGGATGCCGAGATTATCTTCAAAGTCTTACACGAGCACAGGCCGGACGCTTTCTGCGCCTTTCTCTGCAGACCTCTTTCAGCACAGCGAGGCCAGATGCCACAGTGCACGGGATACTTCGCTCTGCGAAAGACATGCATGATGACGATGCACCAGCAGGACTGTAGGCTGGCATTTGTGTACAGTGCTGTCATCACCACCCCGAAGCTTCGCCTCGGACGAGTAAAGTTGGCTTCGTAGCATGTGGACCAACAGCTGCGGAGTTCATTCGGGCAGCACTGAATTTCTCTGCGCCAGAGGTTTGTCGACAAGGGCAGAGCAGGGGAAGATAGGGGAAGCAACAGCTGTGTTACGTTGTACCGGTATGTCTTACATGAGCTCTTATAAGCACGGATTCAAGCAGCATTCTGAAAGGTCTGGCTGATCTGTGACGACTGGGGTTCCTCAAGTATTCTTGAGGCTGGCAGTCCCAGTAGAGACGATCGTCCAAGAGCTAGCAAGACTAAGGGCTGCATTTCTAAACAATGGCTGCGAAAGGGCGTGAGAGAAAGGGTCGCATGCGCGCAGGGGTTGCCCACCTCTCGCGGTAGAAGCCAAAGCTCGCAAGGGGACGAGGCTAATGTTCAGATCTTTGAGCATTGACATGTGCACGGAAGCACAAGTGCACGTGGGATTTGAAGCTTGAAATGACCTCAGGGGGCAGCGCATAAGGGACATGTAGCTCCGTGGAAGCCGCATGCAGTCTGCATACATCAAAATGTGGAAGGGTTTGTTAGTGTCGACGGAGTGATCGAATGTGGGTACTGGATGGTGCTGGGCACCCCTCATCTGCACTTTGTGCGCATGAACCTGTTGAGCAGCCTTGGCTTCTCAATTGACTAAAGCTCGAGCCTCGAATCTGGCAGCCGCGTAGCCTGCGGAGGAACAGATATTCTTCTGGTCATGGCATACTCAGCCAACTATGCTCCCGGAGCTGTTTGCCAAAGGGTCAACTATGAGCAGCTGGACTGACTACGGCTTTTGTTGAGAGAAGCTTCGGTACAGGCTGGAGCTTGACTGCAGGTACTCCAGAAGGCATGGCTACGGCTTTAAATGCGAAGTCCTGACCAACGAGGACATGCTTGCCGCAATTTCCCCTCGAGATGCGCTCACTTGGTACAAAGCAGCTCAGAGAAATCAATCAAGAGTCAGCTGCGCTAGAGCCCTTGAAATCTCTGTCCTGCGTCATGGCGAGGTGCTGCTGTTGAAGCGAGAGCTGAGCACCGAAACCTACAAGTACGTTGTTTGGCTTGATGGTGATGCTGCCATTCTCGACCAAGACAAGTCCTTCGAAAGTTTCATTCATCAGGTCTGGTGTGCTGCGCAGCGGGTCGAAGCATTTCGGTTTCTCCTGTAATGTCAGGCGAAGGGTCGCCACCTCATTCTGCAGGAGGATCTTTCTGCAGAGTGCCGAGTCAATTGCGGTGTGATGATCTTTAGGAGGCCAGGCGTGAGCAAATGCCAATTGCTGAATTGCTTGTGGAGCCAGCTTAATGTCGTGGAATATAGCGTATGTCCCAGTTCCCATGCAACCAAGAACACTTTCAGGAACATTCAGGAACCCGTCCAACAAACATTCTCGAAAAGAAGACGCTCGCAACTGGCAATCCATCTACTGTAGCAGCTTCTACGGGCCACGGGCCACGTGCAAGGTATCCACACCTCAAGTCCGCGAAACATGTGAAGCCAAGTTCTCTGTTTCTCTGCACGCCATGGACAGAATGCTGGATTGCCTTCGTCAAATGTAGTCACTGCGTACCTTGTAGTGTCGAGGTTCCTTATGCAAGGTGGCTCGCAAAGATCAAGCCTGTTTGAAACGACGCAAAGCTGTGTGAGCAGGCAGCAGCACGACTTGAAGCCTCAGTAAAGTGACAAAAGTGTGCTCCCTAGGGCCTCTGTCCACGACGATTCCTCCGCATCCCTTGGGACCATATCCTCGTCGAGCAGGGCTTGTCTCTCCTGAGCAAAATAGGTAATCAGTCAGCGGGCAATGCCATGCGGTACCGGCTCTAGCATCGCGGCAGACTCGTGGGCTGTACAACCACGACTCTGCTGACTAAGAGGTTGCGACATGTCGTGCAATCTGCAGTCTGCATGCACAGCGGGAGTCTTTCTCCGGTCAATTTGCCAGCAGGTCCAACTGGACTTTGACATTGCTCAGACTGTTGTGGGAAGGAAACCTTTCCAGACGACATCACTGCAAGCCGTACTATGCATCTCGGACACAAATGCTGCAAGCAGCTGGCACTGCTCCTGCAGGCCTATCTACGAAGTGAGGTTTCTCCCCCTTCTCCTGTCCACAAAGGTTTCCTTGTTTAAAGAATGGGCGGTCCATTTCCGCGAGGTACGTTTTGAACTTTCCGGTGCCTTGGTGCAATCCTGTGCATTATGCTCACGAAAATATTGGAAGTCGAACGAGCCGGACTCATCGGTCCCGAATTCCATCGAAGTCTGATGCCATCGTCGTGCTTGAACATCGGGGCGAAGGGGTTGGCAGGGAGATGAGGGGATGTGTACATCTCCGGACGGAGTTTCGCCGTGTTCTTGTCCCGATCGCATCTCGCCCCCTTAACAGTTAAGACGCGAGACCGCCATATACCAATTGATTATACCAGCTCGGGAATGTTTGCCTTCCTGCTTCCACACTAGGCGAGGTGCGATACACCCGATAGAATCCCATAGAACAGCACAATCTCACACCAGTTCCTTCTCTACGGAATGTCTCCCCCAGATTGCGGCTGGGCCTGTCGAATCCAATTCTGGCTTGAATTATAACAACACAAAGGGGGACTTGGAACAAATTTATTCTACTCCTAGACCATATACATATATACATATATATATATACACACACACACATATATATACGTATACCCATCTAAACATACTAAGGAGCAGTCGGCACTGGTGCGACTCTTAGTGGAAGCCAAGGAGCTCCCAGCCAGGTACCGCAGCGTGCGCAAAGTAAACCGGATGCAATGCGTTCTGCGCTTGTTTCTTAGCCTATTGCTTTGTCTGCTGCTTGACATGTGAAACTGAAAAGGCCTTCGACTGCACGGCTCCAGCGCCCCTGGCATTCCGACAAAGTCTGTCTTCTGCCGCTGCGCTCTTTGCAGACAAACCGGCTACGCGAGGCTCGCTTAGAAGCTCTCGAGACAGTCTGCATGCCATCAATCAGCCGGTAGTGGCCCATCAGTGCACAGGGTTTAAGGATCAACCAGAACAGTTGATCACACCCGGTGGAAGTGTCCAAACTTGCATCAATCTCTCTTTCGGACCAGTTGGACCTGGAACACAGTACCGCTGACATGGGCGGCTTTTGCCTTGATCTGTGCGAGGTGCAGCTCATCCACCCTGACAAAAGTTTCGTTTTCCATCCGCTTTTTGCGTCGGAGCAGTTTGCAGAGGACAAGGCCGGAAACGCTTGCACGGAGGAATTGCTAAGGTTTCTTTCTGGTACTTTGTCTCAGGCGCAAGCTCTGTGCTCTGTGTTGGCAAGCATGGGCCACTCGATTCGCGAGGGCGACATGCAATGTCCGCACAAGTGACGACGCAGTCTGCGCAGTGCGTAGACTTGTGGCATGTGACAAAAGGTTCAAAAAAAACAGCATTGCATCCTCGAGTAATGCATTGCTCCGATCCGAACTTCACGCCTGCAGATGTTCCGATAATCACTCTGGCATGAGTGCTGCAGCTGTATGCCATCATGTGCGCAAGATGCCTACTGGCAAGACTCGCAGCATTTAGCGTATGCGGCTGGCTGGGAGGACGGTCTGAGTGTGTGTGTGTGTGTCTGTTAGCGACCTGGCACGATGCACTTTGCTGAAAGAGTCATTGACAGAACTTCGCAGGGGGCAGAGGCTCAACGTGGATACCTGCGCCATGGGGGGAGGGTGGTCTGGTCAATGGCTTGTGCACTCAGGCGACATCATGTGATGTGATCATCCCTCAATCTGCGCATGGTAATAGTTTAGTTATAATCGTCAGCTGCTGGTTTCATCGAACTGGAGAATACAGTATGTTTGTTTGCCAGTGTCTGCATGAGAGGCATGCGTGAGTGAGCGTGTGTTTTCTGACATCTCCAGTGTTCGACATGCTGATTGTGCCACAGTGCGACAGTGTTTTGATTCTCCTGGCATGACAGCATGGCAGCATAACAACTTCATGGTAGCCAATAGCGGTGAACAATGATGGCATCATTCGTTATCAGTGTACAACAGATGAGTTCTCTACTGTATGAACACCTTGGCCGGCATCGGCGACACAGATTGAACTTGCCGGCCGAACGAGGGTTAAAGTGTGTGAATGTAGCCTGCATGCCAGCCGCGTGCCCGCAAGTGTCGACGCGAGAAGCTAACTCGCATCAAGATAATTGAAAAGCTAGCGAGCTTCGGGATGCCTGTCTAGTCTTGAGAACTACTGTATGTGTCAATCTGATATTTGGTCGCTGTACCGATCGCCTGGCAGTGACTACATCCAAAGCGGCACAGCTTGGTCACAAGATTTAGCAGATGCAGGCAAAACTTCGTTCTTTTTGTGTTTTGGTTCAAGTCAGCTGTGCGTCAAGCTGACTGGGTTTCAAATCATCACACCTCCGGCACCACCGATGTCGCAGACAACTTCGACGAGATCACCTCGTCCACATGCAGCCGAACTGATTGATCTGCTTGGCGAGCATGGACGCCAGCGTTGAACTCCGTGCATCAGCATCCTCAACATCACGACTACGAGAAGCTCATGCTCCCAACCAATCCGGCCTTATGCTCACTCAATGCCACGATTCGCGGTGAAGACCATGCACAAGCTGGACCCTAGCACTCCATTGCACCAGTTCAGCTGCAGGCCGAGACGTGCAATCCAGGTGATGCGAGGCGTCATTCTTTGATGTAGAACATCTCCAAGGGCAGCCATGGAGTCAAATCGAACGGTCACATCCCCCGCTCCCTGCCCCTCCCTCCACGCGAGCTTGAAGTACTGCCAAACTGTGTCCCTAGCCCAACAAGTAACAAGCACGGGAAACCTGGCAAGTACCGACGAAAACTCGAAAAGTGCAAACTCCATTGCAAGCCTGCAAATCTGCCAGCACTAGACTGCAGAAACATACAAAAAAGAACCGAGTCGACAAGCTAAGAAGTGAAGTAAGAGTTCCTCCCCGAAAATTTCGCCTTCTTCCAACTACATGGATGATCTGACCAAATAGAAATTACAGTCTGCTTGTGTTTGTCTTTGCATCGGTCTCTGTGTCCGTCTTTGTTCCTATCTGCAACATGTTGCCAGATGGACGTTTCGTGCACTTTGCATTCGAAGCAGGACTGGAGCGGATGCAGCGGCAGCTTGATGGTCTGTGTAGAAGGCCCGCTTTGCCTCGAATGTCTCGACAGCATCTCCCGTGTGATGCAGACCTGATAGAGCTGTGAGGGCCAGATTAAATGCATTTCAGTGCAGGCTGGAGTCAGCAGCCAGAAGAATCAATTGATCGAATAGCGTATGCATGTTTTGTGCGAGGCAGCACACGATTCATGTCTGGCAAACATGGGCGCAGAAATCCTTGGGCATCCACCACAGAAGCACGTCGATCGACTTTGGTATTGGACACGATGTATTTATTTTGAGTTTCATCGTGTTGAGAGCTCATGTTTCCCTTGTTTGACCTTGTGTGGTGGGATTGGTGGAGATGCTGCCGAGAAGGAGCTCATGCTGAGGTTACAATTGAAGCGCCCGTCAACGGTCGCTCGTCAAGCGCCCACGCAAGCAAAGAGATGCCATTGGCCATTGGCCTGATACTCGCAGCACCAATCCCATTTGTCCATGCGGTCGCTGTGATGTCAGCGTGTTTTGCTTTGCCAAATCTTTGCATTTTTCAGCAATTGCTTGGCTCAGCTTGGCTCGGCAGGCTCACTGACGCAGGGTGTGCGCTGTTGCATTGCCGACCGCGGGCTGCTTGGCAGGCTTGTCCGGGATGTGCCTCATGACATCAGATGACTTGGTTTCACAGGTGTAACGCAGCAGACTTGCTGTTCTGAGTTCATCTGTGACGAGCGGCATGTTCTGACTCTGGCTTGGCAGATTCTCCTGCGCGGAAATGCTGACGAGGTGCTGGACATGACCTTCGTTGCAGTAAGTGTCCGTGTCTGTCCCTACCTGTGCTGTTCGGTGTTGGATGTTGGATGAGCGTCACCACGAACTGCCATGTCATGCACGTTGGCTCCAGTCCAATAAGTATTGCTGGAGAGTCCTGTAGAAGTGAACGTGATGTTCATTGCCTGGCCTTGGCAGTGATCGATATTTGGTGGAATGGGTTTAGGGCGTAGCTACGTAAGCAACGTTTGCGCAGTGTGTTTTGAAGCCTTCATTGAAGCCATTCTCGTATGCCGGATGTCCATGCTCTGCAGGTGCATCGCATTGAGGGACGGCCTTTGTTGTTGCTGGACAAAGCAGCGCGGCTCCGCGACAAGGCCTTCATTGTGTTAGGTGGGTGTGCCATGAGCCGGACAAGAGCACTCCGAGCACGAGCAGAAGGAACAACAACAGCAAGTGTCGTTTTCTGCGTTGTAGACTTGGCGTCTCTTGCTACAGCCGTACCAAGCACTTTCGAGCAAGTTGAGCTGGACGCAGCCAATAGCTGTAGTAACAGCAGCATCCAGGTCTTTAACATCTGATAAATCCAAAGAGCATCCAGCTATCAACTAAAAGCCATCTTGTCGAGTTTGACCGTTGCGACATGCTGCGACCACGATGCCGCGGCAAGGGGATCACAAGCAGCGGTGGGCAAAGTGAGTTGATCGCTGGGTGCATGGGATACAGACCGCACAACCTTTGTGTCGTTTGTACTTGACTGTGCTGGCTGGACGGGCAGTATGACAAGTCACGAGTAGGGGGAATTGGGACGCACCACGACTCCTCTTTCAGTGACACCCGCGAGATTGCAGATCTAAGTTAAACCAGAGCAAAGCGCTCCTCCCGCAGAGCACGCAGAAGTTTCCAGCAACTGTTCTTGCGTTGAAGCTTTGTTGCAGGTTTGCAAACGAGCACCAGCGCTGCAGGACTCCCGGTTCCCGGAAGAAATCTGTTGCGTGCGCCAAAGCTCTCGAAGCTGCTGACAATGCTTTCGTTTTCGGGTGCATGCAATCCTGTTGACTGGCTGACACGACTGGATGATTTTAAATGTAGTGAATGCGGGATGTTGCAATTGAGGAGCAGTGGAACCAGTTGGGTGTGGAGACCGTGTGCGTGGTGGTTAGAGGCAGGGAACATGTTCGACGAGATAATCCTGCAGCTTTGCGGAAACCGGGAAACCCTACTGTTTGTCCGACGTCGGTCTTCTCCTTTTCTCTGCAGGCATCAGTGGCGAGATCATTCTGGAGGAGCATGCAACGAGGGCGTTTCGTATGTTTTTTCTTTGTACAAGTATACGCTGTGCTGGGTGCTGAATTTTTCTGCAGGAGCCAGAGGTTAAGTCAAGAACCCCGGTCAAGCACCTCGTGACGAAGATCCGACTCGTGACAGTTGAAAATTCACTGCTGCGTCTTCGCCTCGTGACGAGTCGTTGCCCCGAGATGCCCCGAGGAGCCATGGCAGACACGGAGGCCGAATTGGTTCAGATATGCCTGGGCACCACAGTGCTCAAGCACTGTGCGATGCTAGGTCTTCTGGCCTTGTTGTTTATGTTGATGGATCATTCGTCGCATGTTAACAGCTGCGTGCCGTGGACCCGACACGAGACAGCACCGGGCAGCAACCTGAGGCGATTTCCTGGTCCCAGACAGAGACAAGAGCATGTTAGTGGAAGCCTCGGGTGACGGTCAATCAGTAACGGTTCTGAGATCGTGCGTACCGTTAGCAAAGGGTCCAAATTGCACGCCACGGCGTAGATTGAGCATATGTTCATTGCCGTAAAAGCCCCATTCTTTCATCCTTGTCCAAGGGCGATTTGTTACTAGATGTTACTAGGAACAGGTAGTTCCGAGAAGCTTCGAATTCGTCGGCGCGAAAATCCGTGCGTAGGGCTTTACAGCTGCTTGCTACTTACTAGTCAATAGTTTCGATACTACTTCTGCCTATGCGCATGCGCCAAAGGTTTTTGGTTTCCAGGCGTCTCCAACATCTGGCAGAAGTTGCGAGGAAGATCCGCGGAAGCTCAGTGTCCATCTCGCCACCCTCGCTCGGCCAATCCCTCGGCCCACAATGAAAAGCCTTGAATGCCGGAAGCTCTAGCGAGCGCCCTTATGTTGATAATTGAAAATGAGTGCCACAGAGTTAGCTGTTCACAAACCCTCGCCTGCGGGAAGAGTGCGGAATCGCCGAGCGGACGGGACCTCTTCCGTTATGCATAGGCATCGGATATTCGGCAACGTCCATATCTCAAATCATCTCTCAAGTTTGGTTCTAATTTCGAAGCAGAAGACGAAGCTGCATGCGTCATCATTCAACAGACTCAGGAGTTGACCTTTCTCAAGCTGTTGGGCCCTGCTGTGACTGTGGAGGCCGGCACAGTTTCAGACCGTCAGCAGCACACGAACTCGATGCTTCGCACGTCTTGTGTGTAGTCTTCATCAGCCGCAGTGGACGAAGCACCTCTAGAAGCACTTCACAACCTTCAGAGCACTTCTTCAATGCTTCGTTTGTCCCGAATGGTTGTCCTTCTCGAGGCACTAACAGGACGTGAGATCAAGTTGCTGGACTCGGTCCCCAGCCGAGGCGATCGCTGTCACTTCGACATAGCCTCATTTGTGCGACGCATGGGTCTCGTTTTCGATGTGCTTGACTGTCGGAGCTGGTGCCCACCAAGGATCGAAGCTATCGATTCATTTCCCTGGGCAGCTTTGCTGACAAGCCGTCCATGCGCTATGTCATGACAAGCAATGACGACAAGGACTCGCAGAATCTGGCAGACGTTGACATGATTGGACATGAATGGGGGCATCTTCAGATACCTGCTGTGCATGCTTCAGGGGACTCCTTCCGACGAGGCCATGTGGAGACTCAACGTTCGAATGCCCGTTTCTCCCAGAATCTAGCAAGGGAATGCTGACAACTGCTGACAATGTGGGTGGGCGTGTGCGTCGATGCCAGTATGCCAATCCGAGCCGAGGTTATTGTGTATCTCAACTTCCGAAGCGAGATGCACGTGAGGTATGTTCGCAAGTGGTTGCAAACTGGAAGGGGCCCAAGGTATCAATGGAGTTGTCAATGTCAGCGCCATGAATCTTTCCCGACTCCAATGTGGTGCTGGTGAGGTGATTGGACTCGATCCACGCAGATGGAGAGCACAGTGACATCAGGTATACCCAACGGACCTTATTCGGGACCTGTTTTCTTCAAGGCCGTGAAATACCTGAACGCCTCTGATTGCACGCATGAATCAGTGACGCGCTTCGCAAGCCGTTTCCCTTTCGTGAGGCGGTCAGTGACGGTCTGTTGGATTTGCGTGGAAGTGATTGTGGAGAAGGGACTTACTTCGTCTTTATTGTAACGACCTCAGGCTCAGTCTTTCATGGCTTTTGGCAGCATCGTTGCCCTTTGTCAAACTCCCAGGATACTGAGCCAGACCTCTCGTGAGTCACATTCCAGGCGACACCACTGCTCCTGGTAGACTGTATTATGTAGTCCGAGCCGAGCTGGTGAATTGACCGGAAATCATGCAAGGTCGGCAGAATGCAGGATTCAATCTTCCCTAATGGGAGCAGCCCAACCATGGTTACTGTGATCTGTAGCAGTCTGTACATAGCTGGCAGGGCTCCCATGTGCAGAACGGGTTATGCAAAGTTGAGTTGAGCACCGCCAAGACCGCATTACTCAGACGACCGAGTAGCACACTCCATGCAGACGACAGCTGCATAGGCCGTTCTACATTGTCCATATGCTTGCTTGCCTCGGCCAAAACGGGGCTGCTTTCTCGAGCTGCGAAGCTCTCCCAAGTAAGGAGAAGTTGTGGACCCAGCGTGACATCTCGCCGGTCTGCTGCTTAAGCGGGCCCCCGAAGGAGCCAGCAGAGCGAAGATGTAACTAGAGGTTTCAATGACCCGATGAATTCAGCTGAACAGTCGCTGCTTGGTGCAATGGCTTGCCTTCCTCTGGTGTGATGGCCGACCCCTTGCTCTGCCTGCAGTGGCGGTGACAGAGGCGGATGCCTGAGTTCATCTCACTATCACTCTCACTTTCCGCAACTTTTGACTTTCTGTGCAGCTTGTGGGAGGTTCGAGTGCAGCGACCATGGCCAACTCGGGCAGGGGCCGCAGGTTGCGATGCTGGAGCCTACCTGGCCAAGACTCAAAACGAGTTAGGGACATGCTTCCAGATTTGCTGAATTCCACGAGCCCAGTGCATTCCATAAAGAAGTGTGCCGGTAGCAAAGGGGCTCCACCACATCTGCTGACCAACACCAGGGTAAGAGAAGCGCTCTCTCCGTTGGTCGTCAGCCCGCCAGCACGATAGAGTACGATGCAGCATCAATGTACCATCACCTTGCATTCAAGTCGGCACAAGCATTTGTCTGCCTGCGAGTCGCAACCTTGCCATTTATACGGATTACTTGTGCGCACAAATGTGACCGTGTGGTTGAGGCGATGCAAGCGGCGATGCGTGCCCCTCATCGCGGTTACAACAGCTTTTTGCGCAAACAGTGCAGTCGGAGCCCCGAAGCCCTGGTCTCTGACTGCTCAGTTTACGCTGTTTACAATTGACATGAATCGACGCTGCTTGCTGTGGTGCACAACGCACACAAGCGATTCGCAGTCATCTTGCTGGTACGGCATCGGCAACGGCAGTCTCTGCGGTCAGGTACTACAATGGTGCGCAGAATATGGGCTCCGCGATAAGATCAGATCGACAGTTTCGCACCCGGTGCTTCTGACATGCAGGCAGCGACAGCCACTAACAGCCTTGAGTACAACCGTTTTCCTCCAGGCTTCTGCGGGAGCAACTAACTCCGGATGCACGCGGCTTGGTTGTGCCCCCAGCATGCCTCGACGTAGACTGTAGACGTCACTGTTTGAGTTGAATTCTGCCGTCAGCGTGGTGACGATTCTCGACGTTTCGTGGTTTCGGTGTTTTGTGCATGGTTGGTGTGTGTGTGTGTGCGTGCTGGCATGTTTCGGTTTTGTACAGCGGTCGCCTGTTCCGGGGGACCTTTTCCCTTGCTCCGCTTACGTCCGCCACGGAACGTGCCTCCCGCAGCCGGGTATCTCCAAAGCGGAGCAACAATTCCAGCAGCACCTTGTCGAGGATGAAATAAGCGACATCGACGGCACAACAGAATGGATCACAACGAAGCGAATGGACTCCTGAACATAGCATCCGTAGCCTCGCGGGGGTTCGACATCTAGAAATATCTACAAATGCAGCTGAGCTGCGTAGAACCAGGCATATCATGCCAGAGTGAACTGAGTGATGTCAACAGATGCAAAAAGCCCTGGATGTTGTCGCACTACAGTAGCGTATGGAGTCGTTGGTTGCTACGTGCGTCACATCACGAGCTTTCGCAAGAAAGCAGGTTATTGCTTTTTGACTTGACCCAACATTCAAGCGCGGTCATGCATGTGCTCTAAATTGCAGAAAGTTGTAAACATTGTAGACTCTTCATGCAACAACACCTGTGAAACAGCCAGAGATTTGCGGAAGACCGACAGTTCCACACACTCTGAATGAACAGCAAGACGGCAAGCCGCCCCGCCATGCCGAGCTAGCCCAAGCGGCCGAACCAAGCCATCTTTAGCACTGCCTCCCGCTGCTGCTCCACCTATGACAAACCAAGACATCCTAGAAACCAAGAAAATGCGTACTGTTTGTCAGGCATCAACAACTCAGTAAGATTCAATAAGTTTTTTGTCATAACCCGTGCTGACAACCAGCCAGGCCGAACCAGACTATGATCTAAAAGATTCAGACTGTCAGGATAGGTGCTCCATGCATGAAGGTCACGGGGGATGTAATTTGCTGTACCTTTTCATCATTGATAGGTCGTTCCTAGGACCTCGTTAGGTGTTAATGCCATTGCCCCTCCAACAGCTGTGCACCCACGGTATAAGAGAATGCTTTGTGCATAGTCATGCGATTTTTGGGTGGATGTCCTATGCTTAGTGTTATTCACCGTGGTGCTGCTTCAAGTCATGCAAAACTCAGGGACCGTTGGGGATCGCTGGGGGTGAGAAGCAAATGCGCACGTAGTAAATCCAAACAAACATACTCGCACCCGCATATGCCCGCAATTTTTTCGTACTGTACTGACTATCCTAAGATCTAAGATGCCTTTCATGGCAGCATTGCTAGACTTTCCTAGACAGCGAAATGCATTATTTATCCACAATCCAGCTGAATTTACCGATTTTGGAAAGCACAGAGCGGGCACGCAAGGGTTTCTTGCAATCAATGCAAGCGCATGCCTTGAATATTTTCCCGATGAGTTTAGGTTGCTAGCATGAACTAGAAGCTGTCCCGTGCAGCCTATGCCTTGCTGAGATTGTGGCTATGGTGGGCCTGCCAGCAAGAGGAAAGTCCTTCATCTCGCGCAAGGCAGGAGAGAGAGCGACTTCACAGCCAAAACGTCCATGCGAACCTACATGACATGTACAAGCATAGTGGCCAGAAAAGCCACAATTCCATGGTTCCCTTGGCATACAGGCAGATGAACAGTCGGAGTGTCGAAATACCTGTCACTAGCTCTTACTGCTGCCGCCGCTGCTACGAGTACTGGCTACTGCTACGACTATTCTCATGTAAGCGAGGTCAATGTCACAATCAGTCACCCCCAAATGTCTCCAACCACTATAAAAGGGCAAACACGGGCTGTTGCGGCAATCTTGCATGTACCTGCTGCCTCATGCACCGTGCCATTGTTCTTGCACATGCCGAGTTGAGTCATGATCAGATTCGATCCAGAATGCTCGATACATCCGATAGGCCATGCAAGATAATGTTGCACTGGGCTTAGTGCCGCCCCAGAGCCTTGTCCGTTGTCCTGAACAATGTGCTCGCGGGGCCCCTCTAACTTGAGGTGGGGGTTGAGGAAGATAGGCTTTTTAGAGGGGTGTGGGGTTGGTGCATCCTGGACCTGTAGAGGCAGATGGCCTCTTGAAAGGGGTGTGGGGCATCATTGCGCTGCAGAGGGAGATCGGCTCTCAAGTGGGGAGTGGGGCGTTGTCATATAATCCAGTAGTACATACTAGTACAGACTCTAGCACAGTACTAGTACAGTAGTGGTGCAGTGGTGCAGCAAGTGCAAGAGGGTGAAGGGCTGTTTGGGCGGCCTGAAAACCTGGAAACCAAGCCCCGGTCAATTCAAGAGAACTAGCAAGACTACCAGCTCTTCATCTTGAAGAATTCCCCCACAACCAACCGAGCCTGAACGGCCTCCTGTTATCCTCTATGCAAGTAAGGCCAGCTAAAGGTTAGAGAGCGTCGCCTAGCTAAAGCCGGTACAACACTACGCGGTGGATGACGCCAGATTTTGAAACAGCTTTACAGACGGAATGCGAGCCTGCTGCTTGCCATGTTTGTTGAGTGGAAGCAGATGCCTGCCATGTGCAGTTGGAACGCTTCCTCAAGTGGAGTGGCAGCACGACCAAGACTTTCAACGTGGGAATCTAGGCTCGCAAGTAGACCGACAGCAACGGTTCTGTGGCAAAGTTGCTTCGTGCTTGCGGCCATGCAGGATTCTAGGTTTCCAGCCGAGATGCGCAGCACATTCTCGCTAAGAGCTGAAGACATGTCTCCAGGGACAGTAGGCATGCTATGCTCTTAGTATAGCTGTCAAAAGCCATGCTGTCGAAAGAGTCATTGCGACCAGCACAATGCCCACGGCAGCGCGGTCAGTTGCAGTTCTGTATCCAACATCTCTATACCATGGACATGGGAAGAATTCCTGCACTGGTGGCACTGTGCCGGCAGGGGTCCTGTGCGTTGGAAAGCGACTAGCAGCATGTGAGTTGCATGATCACTTCCCCAAGGGTTTCTTTGCCTGTGCAGCAATGGCATATCCCTGTCGTTATGGGCTTGAGGCCTTAGCTTCACATGTGGTGTTTCGCGCTGCACGAGAAAGCGGCCCAATGCAAACACATGCGCAACAACTCTGCCTCCAAACTGATGACAGATTCGTAAAGGCAGGCAACCAATCCTGCACACGTTAATCCGTGTTTACATGTTTCAGAGCACGGAACATGCATGGGCGTGAGAAGCTTGATTATGGCAAAAGCCTCCCACGCTGCTGAAACTTGGCACACCCCGCCTTCCAGGGGACGCACGTAAGGGACAGTTTCCGAAGTTTGGTTGAGGTGCACATGCAAGATGGCGCTTGCGTTTGCCGGGACACATGGGGGCTGAGATGCAAGCAAAGGGACGTTTGATTCCCGAGTGTAAGAGGTGAGACTTAGATTGGGAGCAGAGTGACTTCGTTTCATTTGATGCTTACTTGTTTGAGCGGCCTGCTCTGCACAGTGGCAGCTCTGATCGCAACGCCTGCAACACCCGGACCCGGAACGCCCGGAACACAAGAAGCACCCCGGAACCCGGAACCAGAGGCCCGTCGCTTTAGTCCAAGCAAAACGAGATCCTGCTGGATAGAGGCAATTGGCTCTGGGAGGCTGTGCAATAGCTGACCAGAAGCTGTAAGGACAAGCACGGCAACATACGGCACCCGCTTCGGCAAGAAGCAATATTAGCTTGTTAGCACTCAATGTACTGACCTGGCAATTTTCGATGTTCTGTCGACGTCATTCCGGAGATCTCCAGAGTATAAACACCACAGCGGGTTTGGATTCGCAAACGTGTAGGCGTCCTGGCCAATGCATGTTCAACGGCAGGACCTGGTGGGACGATAGTCAACGTAGGGTCAAGCGCGTTGCACAGTGTCCTTCTAAACACTCTTGCCAAACCAAGTTTGCATCAAAATGTTGCAGAGGATGGAAGCAAAAGTCAGCAATCTGTAACCCTCGCGAAATAGGATCATGAGCCTGACAAGTGTGTTTCTTTTAGTCCGTCTGACTTGCCATCTGATTCTGTTTCGAGGAAAATACAGAAGAGATGCAGTGATGCCGGAGAGGCTGCTCTTATTCTCGGAATGAGTGGAGCCTGCAGCGTGTGCCCATTGTAATCTCTACAGCATCTGGCTTACCTCCTGTGGAGCAGCCATGGGACCAGTTCTGCTGAATGCGTTTGCATGAGCATGATGGTCTGTGCAGGTCAGGGAGGAGTGAGTTCTTTGACAACCACAATCCAGACTCAGTGGAAACTGCCTTAGTTGCTCGAGATTAGAGTGCTAGAAACAATTGCTTCTCAGCAGCAGTGTTCAGATCTTCATGTTAGTAGGGCAAGTCGCGATGCTGGCACGGTGCAGCCAGATCGCAAAATAAGGCCGCAAGGGAAAAGATGGCCATGACTGCTTTGGTGAGAGCCTTACTGGAATTTGCACAGCCTGAAGTGTCGTGTGGTGCTGAACCTCAGAACATGCAAGCGAACTTGCAGGACAACATGTTTGCACATCAGGTCCAGCAGCAAAGACTGACTGAACAGCAATGCAGGCCGACGCCATCAGGTTCTTGGATGAGGGGGGGAAGTTCGCGATCTTCGATGCAACCAACAGCAGCTTGATCAACGGCTGTGCCATAAATCTTGCAGGAGCCACTGCTGTGACGATGTGGGCTGCCGCAGCAACTGAGGTACTGTCGCTAGAAGGCAGTCCATCGCTGAGCAGGTGACCCGTGCGAGTTGAGGGCATTCTTAGGCGGTAAGGGTGTAAGAGTTATAAGGTTGTGTAGAGAAAATGGACCGCTGCAGCCCGACAAGGCTAGGGTCAAGGCTTAAGGTTATAGAGAGAATGTGGACTGATGCAGCCCGGTAAGTATGGCGTTTAGGGCTAAAGGTCTTGTAGCACACAAGGGAACTGGACTGATGCAGTCCGACGGGTTTAGGATAAGTAGTAGTAGTAGTAGTTGTAGTTGTAGTTGTTGTTGTTGTTGTCGTCGTCGTCGTCGTGGTCGTGGTCGTGGTCGTTGTCGTTGTCGTTGTCGTTGTCGTTGTCGTTGTTGTTGTTGTTGTGACAACTGTCTTTAGCTAATGTCCTTGTGTAGCAACTTGCAGCACTCCTTGGTGCTACGGAACATCATTGGCGACTTTGTG